TTTTTTACTTCAAAATAAGATATGTGCAGTGTGCATAGGAATTTGTTCATAGTTTTTTTTTAAACTAGAGTCCGGCCCTCCAACGGTCTGAGGGATAGTGAACTGGCCCCCTGTTTAAAAAGTTTGAGGACCCCTGTTCTAGAGTAATGCAGAGTCTGACCAAGGGGCTCTTCCTGCCTTCCCTGGCCTTGCGTCACCCTAACGGGATGGCAGAAGTGAAAGTCTGGGTGTGTTTTTCCGTCAGTCAGTGCCGAACTCCTACTTTTAAGCCAAGTCGAGTTGGCATCTCGCCGTCTGTTCGCCTCGCTGGCCCAAGTCAGCCCACATGGGGCCCAGACCCAACTCGGTGGTAGACAACCGTCTTTGTGTCTAATTTAAGATTAATATGAAACCTTCGGGCTTGGCCCAATCAAAGGAACTTCAGCTGGGAACTGTTTGAGTAATAGATTCTGGTGGGGTCTTAATCTATCTGCTCAAGTTGATGGATTTCCATTCCAATGACTCTCAGGTGAAGAAAAACATCAAAGTGGAAACCAGATTCTAATAGTTGGCAGGTGTGCACTGATCGCCACCTGCCCTCTCTGCACCCTCCTCCCCCAGCAGAAAACACGGCACGTCTCAGACGGCTCACCAGGGACGCCGCGCAGCAGCGGCGTCCAGATGAGCACGGGAGAGCTCACACTGGCCCCGGAGCCGCACACTGGACTCGGGGTCTCGGCTAAGCATGGAGCGAGGGGCAGGTGTCTGTCAGCACAGCGGTCCCCCCTTGTCCGCAGTTTCAGTTTGCTACAGCCCACCACAGTCCAGAATTATTAAATGCACAATTCCAGAAATAATCCATAAGTTCTAAACTGCACGCTGTGCTGAGTAGGGTGATGAAATCCCACATCATCTCCTCCAGCCGGTCTGGGATGTGAATCATCCCTCTGTCCGGCACATCCTCGCTGTATGCGCTCCCCACCCGTTAGTCTCTTCGGCTTGGCCATCAGATCAGCTGCTTTGGCATCACAGGGCTTGTGTTCGAGTGACCCTGACTTAGTGCCACATCCATCTCCTAGCACAGCATATTGTTTTAATTGCTCTCTTTTAGTATTAGTTGTTGTTAATCTCTTACTATGCCTAATTGATTAAGTTAAACTGCATTCTAGGTATGTATGTATAGGAAAAAACAGTGTATTCGGGCAACCACTGGGGGTCTTGGAAGGAGCATCCCCAGTGAATACGGGGGGAGGGGGAGGCTGCTGTACCTTCCGCTCCCCTATTTCAGATAAGTGAGGGCACCCACACCTCCGTGGCAGGGAGGGTGCAGGTCCCACACGCACACAGTGAAGCAGCAGAAAGGTGCGTGCTTCGTGCTCCAGAACTGCAGCTCTACTGGGAGACCAGCGCCTTTCCCATAGCACCCTTCCACTCGGGCTCAGCTGAGTCGCTGTGGAGAGAAACCAAGAGCCAGCGCTAAGCTGGACGGGGGGGGCGGCTGGCCTGCCTGCTGTTCTGATCCATCTCGATGTCCCATGTTCCGGTGTGAGGATCCGGAAAGGTGACCACTAGGGGCTGGGCCAGAGTCACACAAAACTCACGCCAGGCACTCAATCGTGAGCTCTCCACAAAAGTAAGCTTGCAGTTCAGATGTCTGGGCCCCTATACTCCCAGCCCCATGCCCTTACACTCCCAGGAGGCAGGGAGGGAGAACTCATTGAACATCAATCTCCATTTAAAAACTGCTCTCACACAATAATCAAAACTAGACAATTCCAGGCAACAGAGATCGTATCACTCGGTTCTGGGGTTTTTGTTTGTTTGTTGGTGTTTTTGCAGATGAGTCCAACTCTCTCTGGTGTCTGGATTAGAAATTCTCTCACATTTTCAGGCAGTTCAGTCCTAGAACAGCAACCTGTGTTCCGGCGTTTAGGACACCCGGAGAAGTGACTCCGGACCGGAGTGAGGTCAAATGACAAGCCGGAAAGCCACGCCTCCGCTTGCATCTCCCGAGACCGTTGCTCTCTCCTCCACATGAAAAAGGAAGAGGAGGGAATAAAAGCCTCAGTTGAAAGAGAGGGTGGGAGGCCTATCAGGAAGTCCCATCCATCATGGCCACTTGAGTAGGTGCAGCAGAAAGCAAGCCAGGGAGTCTCCCTGACCGATAATGAATAATTTGCCAGGCAAGTGGGGTGGGGTGGGGTGGGGTGGGGACTGGGAAGGGGTGAGCCAGGACGGCTGCGCGAGAAGCGGGGCGCCCTCCCCGGTCAGGAGCATCTGGAGCTGTTTCTCTAGCAGACAGTAAAGAACTCGATTACATCCAGTTAACTGTGCACTAAACTGATTATGCATGTGCTGGGCTAATGGATTACATTAGCAAGAGGAAAAATAACATGCAATCAATCTCCATTTACTACAGGCCACACCAGGGCCGAGAGAAAAACTCGCTCTCAAACCACCTCCAGTCCCCACCCCGGAGCCCCGGGACCCTGGGAGAGGGAGCCCCTCGGTGGCAGGGAAGTTTGTCTTCGTCTCACTGGGGGACGGAACGGCCAGGTGAGGATGCTGCAATGACAGGCCTGTCCCTGTGGCAGCCCCAAGTGGGCGGGAGAGCGCCCCACCCCCACCGCAGAGCCCTGCAAGCGAGGACGAACGACACCGGACTGATGACACAGGGAATTCTGCCCCGAGTGTCGGGGCTGGTCACGCCCAGAGTGTGCCAGCCAATCGCACTGTTGGGGCACCTCTCCTTCAGGCGCTAGTTCCCATGTGCCATCCTGCATTCCAAAACCTATGGCCCCTCCACCTGCACCGCCCTTTTAAAAAAGGAAAAAGAAAAAGAAAAAGATGGCCCAGCTGGCGTGGCTCAGTGGTTGAGCATCGACCTATGAACCAGGAGGTCACAGTTCGATTCCCAGTCAGGGCACATGCCCAGGTTGCAGGCTCGATTGCCAGTATAAGGTGTACAGGAGGCAGCTGATCGATGATGATTCTCTCTCATCACTGATGTTTCTCTCTCTCTCTCCTTCTCTCTTCCTCTCTGGAATCAATAAAAAGATACTAAAAAAAAATTTAATGAAAAAATAAGGCCAGGAAGGAGGATGGAGACACACACACTGTTTCCCTCACATCCACCTGGCAAACCGCCTCAAACCCGACTCTCGGGGTGACTCGTGGAAGTGGTTCGGGTCCCAAGAGGGGATATTCTCAGCAAATCCTCCCGGCCCCCGGCCCTCTGGAAGGAAAGCCGAGGGCCTGGTACACTCTTACTGGAGGACGGAGCGTGGAGTTAATCACCACTGTGCACATTTTATAATTTGAAGAGCAATTTTTCCCTTGGATGGAGGAGACTGGCTTCATGCCACCTCTAAACGACCTTCATCAAAGTTGCACACAACCTTCCGTGGCCACACCGAGTCCTTTGTACTGATTTTGCTCAGTGGGGTCCTTTGGAAACTTTTTTCCACTGGTTTTTCCATCAGGTTTTCTTGACCACATCGGCACCACCCTGTGGCCAGTTAAGACCTCCAATTTCAACTCACCACAAAGAGCCTTTTATTTCCAAGGTGGCGCAGCACTAAGCCACCCAGCAAGGTTCTTGATCACTTAGGACAAGGGGGCTGGCTACGTGGTGTCCAGGCCTTCCCCACGGCACCAGTCGAGCCCCTCCACGCCGGAGTCAGCTGTCACTCCAGAACATTCTATTCCCACTGCCTCACTCCTGCTTTCTCCTCCTCTCCCTACAATGGGTTCTCACCCAATGTTACACAGGCGTCTCGCCAGCCTGAGAACGAGCAACGGTAAAACGCGTTCCAGTCATCAATGTCCCAGGGACCCTGTGGGGAGGGTCGGAAGTCTTCCCCATCAGAGTCTCTACTGAAAATCGCAAGGGGATGATGGCAGCTCAGGGTCAGCAGAAACTCGACCCTCCTTGGCCCAGAGACGTGAGACCCCATGTGAAAGGAAAAAGGAGAGACTGACAATACGGGAGGAAAGGGGAAGAGGGAGTGAGGGCGTGGAGGGTCTGCGGAGGGAGGCTGGGCAGATTTATGGCGATTTGTACCTGACTGTTCATACTAAAGCCATTACGGGATGATTAGAGAAAAAGGTGAGGCTTTAAGTCCAGTGAAAATCAATAGAAGCGTCTGGAGCAATTCTGCCGTGCGAGTGAGAGGACTATTTACAGTATCTGAACACCAGCTCCTCCTTACAGTCTATGGGCGGAGAGATAGCCCGGAGGGGTCAGGGAGGGGTTGAAGGAGCAGGAAGGAGGAATGAAGGAAGGGGAGAGGGGACAGAACAAGAGGAGGAAGATGGGAGAAGCCTGGAAAAGGGAATAAAAATACACGGAAGAGAAAGGAGGATTGGGGGAGACCGAGGGAAAGAACAAAGGAGCCCCCCTGCCTGACCCCTGTTTCCCCCGTAGCATCTCCCCCTTTCTAGCCTCCTGTCTAACTTATTCATGGTGTGTAGCACGCATTTCCTGGGGGAGGGCAGGGATTTTTGTCTGTTTTGTGCATGGATGCAGGCACGTACCCAGAACAGTGCCTGGTATACAGTAGGTGTGTATCTGCTGAGTGAACAAACAAACGAATGAACAAACGTACACAGCACCCAAAGAATATCCAGGAGAGATTGTTTTTTTAAAGGGAGCGATGAGATGGGATGGACAAGGGGAGCGAAAGCTCCTGGGGGAGGGGGAAACCAGGCTCACAAAAGTGCACAAAAGCCAGGACTCGGGAAACGGTAACTGTGAGGACGGAAGGAAAGTCAACTGTAGAGACAATCGAAGGGCAAGGGGAACACAGTGATAGGATTGGGCTTCCGCAAACAAAACCTGCCCCTCTAAAACGGGGCACCCCACGGAGAGAACCCTCATGTACCAGCTGATGCCTGCCACCCGCTGCAGCTGTGCGAGGAAGCGGATGTTAGCGCCCCTTCCCGCACCGGGTCACCCACCCTCGCCCATCTCCCAGGGGGCCGACCCGACCCACTGCTCCCCGAGACAGCCCGGGCCTTACCTTGTACAGCTTCAGGCTGGCCTCGTGCCTGGAGTTGACCGTGTGCAGCCGCAGCTTCTCCAGGCTGTTGGTGTAGTAGTCGCAGGCATTGCACTTGAGGTGGACGGGGTTGCCGATGGCCACGCACTTGAGCCGCCACTCGTTGGCTTTGCCGCCCTCCTTGATGTGGGCCACCAGCTGGTACTTCTGCACGTGCTTGTCCGTCTTGCAGTGCAGCTGGAAGTTGGCCTTGAGCTGCGTGTTGTAGCGGCAGAGCTTGCACTGGTACGAGTCCCCCATCACGGCCTTCCACTCGTCCTCGGGGAGGCTGCGCTCCACGTTCATGTGCAGCCCCAGCAGGTCCAGGTTGTCCGTGGTGAACTTGTTGCACACGGCGCACTGGAAGAGCTTCAGCGACGGGTCGTTGGTCTGGATGAAGCTCTCGCCCAGGTTCATCAGCTCCTCCGACACCAGCTGCCCGCCCCCGAGCCGCATGTCGAGGGGGATCTCACCGCCCACTGTGGGGAAGGAGAGGAGAGGAGAATGAGCGGCCAGGCTCACAGCTGCAGCCGTACCCGGGCACCTCCCTGCCCTCCGCTCCCCGCCACCTGGGTTCAAGCAGAAAAAAGATCACATTTCAAGTGCTGCAAGGTGCTACTAACTGGAAAAACCACACACACATGCACAAATCACCTTCATGCACTCGGATCTTTCTGAAATCTGTGAAAGGCTTTATGGGTGCTTGTGTGTTCCTTTGGAGAAGAACACCTAGAAAGAGGCAGGAACCACAATCTTTGGAATATTTCCATTTAGCCCCTCGCTTAGATGCAAGGAAAGATAGATATAAGCATCATTCACTGGACATAATAGGATCTGAAACTTCAGAACCTGCAAAGTTGGAAATGAGTTACAGCTGCAATCTGTAACGCCAAGTCTTTATGGCGAATCAGACCTCATCTGACGCAGCGCCATCCAGGAGAACTTTGGGCGAAGGTGGAAACGTCTGTATCTGCACCGTCCAACGTGGCCGTCGTGACCACAGGTAGCTACTGACCACTTGAAATATGGCTAACGTGCAACGGAGAAACTGAAAATTTATTTACTCTTAATTCATTTAAATTTAAGTGGCCACACGTGGCTAGTATTGGACAGTGCAGGTCTAAATCTGAGATTTCGGGAAAGATCTCCTCATCACATCCCACTGACCAATATCCGACCTGCCCGTCAATGGTGCCAGCTCCTCCCACACCCCCCTGGGAAGTGCCATCTTTTCCCTTTCTGAGCCCCATGCTGCGTGAAACGGAGGTCTAAGGTCACATTCTCCTTGGCCATAAGTCAGCCTCGGACAGAACCACATGCTGGCCAGTGTCCCCACGGGGGGCTTCCTCTTTAGGGCAGGGCCAGCCTTCTCCTCGCTGAGCCTCCAGAAGGTCCCTCCACAGATGCCCACACGTCCGCTGTGCCAGGCAAGGCTGAGAAGGTCTGGGAAGTGAACTGGAAAGTGGATGTGGGATCAGCAGTGAAATGCAAAGGTCAGCTCACAGTCTCCATCCACTCCGCCTCCAAAAAAAAAAGGGGGGGGGCTGAGAAAGCTCAGCTCTTCCCTCCCCACCCCTGTGCTTTTTTGGTCCATCACTGCCCTGCATAACAGGGAGCGGCTCTCACTTACCAGCAGCAAATTAATGCTGCACGCTCTTATTCGTATCAGGAGAAAGGCTGGCGAAGAGCAGCCTTCCCTCCGTTCCTCAGAAGTGTACAGTCAAGCATGATGCTGGGCACCGGGCTCCTATTTTCTGCCTCTGCCCTGAACACGTGCACACGTGAGCTATGGCCGCCCCTGCCTCTCCCCAACTGATATTTAAACTTGACCTTTTACATGTGGTCGGGCTGAGGTTATTTTTCTTTTAATGACTGATTAGAACCCAAGCTAGTGGTTAATCAAAGAAAAGGCGTTACATATATTTTTAAATGATTTTTTAAATGTACACTACTCGGGGCACCTCCAGCGGAAGATCAGTGTGGGCTCTACACAGCAGCCTCGCAGCGTTTGAAGCCCGTGGACAGCCTCGCAAGCCACCAAAGTTTGCACGGGGAGCTTTCTGCTTGTCTCCTCTCTTGCCATCTCCCCTGGTGAGAGGAGCCATCACGAAGACATTCTTTTTAGGACAAGAGAGAAAAAGAGGAGGAAAAAAGCCTAAAAGCTCTGCCCCCTCCTGGGGACCGCGACCAAGCAGCATCCATGAAATGTACGCGGTGTTCAGTGGAAGCGGAAACTGCCGGAGGGGGAGGAGAGGAGCAAGCACATATTTGTTTCTGATGCCAACCACCGGAAGCAGCAAACCTTCTCCACTTTTTAAATGTAACCTCGGCTTATCAACATCGCTCTAAGGAGGAATTCGACTGTCACTTGTTGGATGCTTGCGTGAAAATGAGAGGTCCTCGGACACACGGAGGAGAAAGTCCCTATTCCCACTCGAAGCTCTTAAAACGAAATGCAAATCCAAGACAGAAGCAGAGAAGCCATGAGCTGAGGGGGTCCGGAGCACAAAACCTTGGAGAAACAACCCACGGCTTAGAATCCTACCCATCCATAGCGCTGGCAGGAACTAATTCAGGCCCGCAAAGTAGAACCTGCCCTAATTCACAGGGATCAGGAGGAGAGCCCCAGTAAGGGAGAACTTAGCAGGCGCTGACTTTTGAGCCACGCTGGATAGATGGTCTTGGAAAGGAATGGCCACCCCCTCCCCACACGCACCTGACTTCAACATGGAAATTTACATCCAGGCACAAGAGCCTGCCCATCAGCACATCATCAGAGGCACATTGTGGGAAGAGATACCTTCTAGACCAGGGGTGGGCAAACTTTTTGACTCGAGGGCCACAATGGGTTCTTAAACTGGACCGGAGGGCCGGAACAAAAGCATGGATGGAGTGTTTGTGTGAACTAATATAAATTCAAAGTAAACATCATTACATAAAAGGGTACGGTCTTTTTTTTTTTTTAGTTTTATTCATTTCAAACGGGCCGGATCCGGCCCGCGGGCCGTAGTTTGCCCACGGCTGGTCTAGACTCAACGGCAGCAGCAGAGAACCTGGAAACCTCATGCAGGTGGCCTGTGGCTGGCTGGCTACTTGGGGAGCACAGGGACCCACCACGAGCTCCCGGCTTCCCAGTGCTGTGCTCAACTTCAGAGTGGAAGGGGCTGTTTGGAAGGATACTGCGATGGCCTCAGTTCTATACCTTGTCTGCAAACGTGGCAAATCCCACCAGCCCAGACCAGCGGTGCCGACCCTTTCCTTAAAGGCCCCTAGAGAGCAAGCATCCCAGATCAGCATGTTTGAAATCACCACAGAGAAGGTTCTGGCAAAGGAAGTATGAGAAGAACTTTGCAAGCCGGAGTGGGTTTCACCAAAAACAATTTCCCCCTGCAGAGCCCAGAAATATCTAATAACCTACGGCCTTGCCTCGAATGGCCTGCAGAAACATCAGTGGAGCTGCAGAGAGAACCAAAAGAGAGGGCTCTTCTCATTTGTATATATCCGTGTCTACTGAGGTCCCAAAACTTAAACTGCCAAGTCCTTTGGACATGCACTGTGGTACCTGCACCCACTCAGGTGTTAGCACAAAGCATCTGTGGCTCTTGTCTGATCTTGACCAGCTGCTGTGGCCCGAAGGCAGACGCAGGAGGTTGCAGAGACGCACCTCAGCTGACAAGCGGAGCCACTGGAAATTCAGGGGCCCTTCTTGGCTGGCCGGGCTTAGGTCCTTAAAAGGGAGAGCTCTCTTCTCTTTAAGAAATAAAATGCAGATTATCAATGTATGTCCAGAGCATAGAGATTCATTCTTCTATTTCTTTGGCATCTGCCATATGCCCACAATGCATGAATGCCCCCAGGGACTCAGACACTTGGTGTAAAAGCAAAACATTTCTCTACCTCTCCATGTAAGCCTACGTCAGAATTACTGGTTTTCAAGGTAATTAAAAAGATCTCACTTCGGCTCAGTATGAACCCATCCATTTTCTGTGTCTTCATTCCACCGACATTATATTTGATTTACTCCAAGATCTGCCTCCTCAAGATTTTAAATCTCCAGACTAGAAAACCCCAATTCCCACAGGCTTAAAAAAAAAAAAGTCTTAGAGTGCTGATGCCATCCCTTGATGTGCATCCCTGTGGTTTACTCTGGGGACCAATAAGACAGCTTATCCCTCTGCATCCACGATTAACCAGCCAGGGAGACTTCTTCCAACCACTTGGTAATAAAGGATCAACAGGTCAATGTTCCAAAACAGAAAAGAGATCAAAGCAGCAAGGTCTCAAATTTAAATGTATAGCCGGAAAAACAAATTAACTGTTATGAAATGTAACTCATCAGCAGCAATTAGCACGAAAACACCATGCACATAAAGACATTCCGACCGGTGAGGTTTGGCCCCTGGCGCTGACCTAAACCATGCCAGGATAAAGGTACTTGCTGACATTCTGGTGCCAAGAACAACTTATCCCAGTGCCGGGGAGGGGATGCTGCCTAATTCGGGCCATCGCCGCTGGGCCCGAGTGGTTAGCCGGTCAGGGGATGGAGACCAGGCCTTGCCTGCCCGGGGCACCGGTGGCAGGGGCAGGAGTGGCCCAACCACTCCTCATGAAACTGATTCGTACATTTTCTTGCTGCAAGAAGCTCTCCCCCAAAGTGGTCATGATTCTCTGTACGTAACGAGTCGTGGTTTCCGGCACCAAGTACTACCCTCGGATCCCACGCTCGACCCATGAAGCCAGGAAGACCTGGGTTGTTCTTCATGGCAACAAAGGCTCCGTCAACCAGGATCTCCCTGACGTTAAAACTTAGCTTTCTTTGATGTACAGTTTCAGAATTCATTCATTTTCATCCATCACACCAGTCCTTAGTGTGCCCCAGGGCCATTTAATTCACAAGTATACTAACTGCCAAAAACACATGCAAAATAAGGAAGGAGAGGAACACGCCTCTCTCCCCGAGACCTGAGGGAACACACGGGGGGAACCGGCGGAACCCTATCTGGGCGGCTCGTGCTCGGCTCAGAGCCAGCCTCTGGTTATCGGAGTAAAGTACGCCCCCGTCCCGCGTTCCTCTTATGGAGATGACTGTTCCTATTTAAAACTCCAGCTACAGTTTCCTGTAAGTTTCAATAAATATTTAATGGAATCCAAAAGTTTTGGATAATTGTGGTGATTTTTCAAATTGAGACAGAGACAGAGAAAGAGAGAAAGGGAACAGAAAGGAAGGTTGACCAGAAGCCAAAAAAGCAGAGGAAACACTTAAATTTTAATCCTGGCCTGCGGAACTGGAGTGGGGTCACGTCTCTGTTCAGTGCATACGACTTTCCCTATGCACACAGGGTTCAAGGGATTCTTGAGAAAAAGTATTGACTGTTAGACTCTCAAGCTGATACAAAAGAAAAAAAAAATCAACCGAATCCACGGGACCTGGACTTATTCCCAGTGTCTCCCCCCGTTCCAGTCACAGCACAGAACAGACAAACACGGAGTCAGCCTCACCTAGAGCCGGCGTCACGGCGGCCATGGGCGCGGAGGGGTCCAGCGGGAACCCGCTCATCATGAAGGGGGCGTCCGAGGCAGCGCTGTCCATCTTCAGGTTGGGCAGGCTCATGTTCTGGGCCAGGTAGTACTGGTACAGCTCGGCCTCGGCGGGCGAGGGCAGGCTGCCCAGGCCCAGGTGGCGGCTGTGCTGGACCTGCGTCATGTTCTGCTGCAGCAGCATCATGTTGTGCATGTGCTTCTCGCTGGTCATGTGGATGCGCAGGTTCCTGGCCACGTTGGTCTCGTAGTCGCACACCTCGCACCGCCAGGTGGGTTTGGTTTTTGGTTTGGTGGGCGAGGGGGCCCCGCAGGAGCTGCCGATGTTGGCCGCCGCGGCCGCTGCTGCCGCCGCCGCCGCCGCGGCCCCGGCCGAGTGGCTGAAGACCTGCTCGCCGCCCCCGTTCTGCAGGTTCTGCATGTTGTTGAGATGCTTGTCGGACTGCATGTGAATGCTGAGGTTGCCTTTGGTCGTGGTGGAGTAGTTACACACCTCGCAGCGGAAAGGCTTGTAACCACACGTGTAGCTCTCGCCTCGGGCCAACCGGGGGTGGGGCTGCCCGCTTTTGCAGTAGACGCAGGAGCCCCCCGGCTCCGGGTGCTTCTCCTTCATGTGTGCCTCCAGCGTCTGCTGGTACTTGTAGTGCCAGTTGCACTTGGGGCACTTGAGGGTCTTGCACGAGTTACGAGAATGCATCATGGTCATGTGGCCGCCCAGCGAGCGGGAGGAGCCCAGGACCGTGTCGCACTTGGGGCACTCCACGCCGCTCCCCGAGGGGCACTCCCCCACCCCAAGCTCGCAGAGGGAGCCCGCGTGCTGGTGATGGGGGACGAAGCCCCCGTCGTCCCCCTCGGGGCTTTCATTTGGTTCTGGTGCTGTGGCATTGTCTTTATTGGCACTTTCGTCGGCGAAGTCCAGCCTCCTGCCGCCCTCTGCCACATTGGCCCTGACGCCCTCACTGTTAAAGCTTAAACGATTCCTCCTGTTCGCACCATCGAAGACAACAAAGGAAGAAGCGGAATTAGAACTAGTAGAAGCTGCGCCCCTCGACAGTGTCTGGAGCACGTTAGGCATTAAGGGGGAGTTAGAAATGCTTTGGTTTGAGAGAGCCAGGTCCTTTTTGCTGCTACCTGCCGCGGCCCCGGACTCGTCATGGGGCCTGTCCTCCAGTTCCTCGTCCAACTCGCTGGGAAAGAGTTCTTTGCAACCCTCGTCTTCCTCCTCCTCCTCTTCCTCCTCTTCCTCGTCCTCCTCCTCTTCCGCCTCTTCCTCCTCCTCTTCCTCCTCCACCTCCTCCTCGGCTGGCCCTGCCTTCTCGGAGAAGCAGTCCGGGTCGCCCCCTTCCTGCTTCTCTCCTTCTGCCGCCCCGGGGTCCTTGCCCTCCGGGGATTTGGTCGGACTGGAGGCCAGAGGCCCCAGGGGGACTGAGGTAATGGGGGTCTTCAGGACCGAGCTGGTGAGCCCGCCAAGGTTCAAGAGGGTGCTGGGGGTCAAGATGCCAGCCGGGGGCTGCTCGGGGCCGGCGGCAGAGCCGGCTGGGAGCGCCTCCTCCCCTTCCATCCGAATGCCACTAAATTTACCATAAAAACTGTGTCCGGGACCTATGAGGTTAGCTGTGGAAACTAAAGGGTGCTGAAAGTTTTTGTTTTTTGGTTCCAGGAAACTTACAAGGGGTTCCTTGTCTTTGCCGATCCCTTGGATGATAGCGGAGATGTTCTTATTGCTAAGAATCTTCCGCTCGTCTTCACTCAGGGTCATTCGATGGTCGTGCACCGCGTGGGTCACGAAGGAGCGGACGTAGCCGAAGGAGAGCTTGCACAGGAAACACATCAGGATGGGCTTCCGCTTGCCGTAGAGCACGAAGCCATCGAACTTGGACAGGTCCACATTGTTGGGAACATCTTTGGATACGCAGGAGCTTTTGGCAGAGCCGTCGCTGTTCAGGTAATCCTTGTTGCTTTTGTGTCGCACGTCAAACACGCGGAAGCTGTGCAGGACGGGGCTGAGCCCCGCCAGGGCTGAGGTATTCGGGAAAGCCGGGTCTGGGCCCTCGAACCACTTCCCGAAGGATGAGGCTATGTGGAAAGTGTTGATGATCTGCGGGTAGACGGGTGCCGCACAGGAAGGGTCCCCCTGCTTGCCCCCCGCCCCGGGGAGGGAGTTCAGAAAGAGCGAGGGGAGAGGCCCGCTGCCGCTGCCGCAGGCGCCCCCGCTCTGGGTCAGCTGGCTCAGGCTCTCCACGATGTAGGCCGAGCCATCGGGCTGGTAGACGATCTCCCCAGCCAGGTTCTCCACGTCGCTCTCCTCGTCCCCCTCCTCGCTGCTATCGCTCCCGCTCTCCTCCCTCAGGGGCCTCGGGGGCCGCGCGCTGGGGCAGTGGTGCTCCATGTAGGTCTGCAGGCTGGCGAAGGAGGCCGCGCACGCGTTGCAGCTGACCTCCTTGCCCGCGGGCTCGGCGGGGGGCCCGGCCGGGGTGCTCTCCGCCAGGCGCTCATTGAAGGGGGCCCTCAGGCTGTCCAGGGGCCCGTGGTTCTCGCTTGTGGACTGCTCCATGCTACTGGGTTGGTCGGGGAGGTGGGTGCTGTTGAGTTCAGTCCATTGCTGGTGCTGAGGGATCCCGCACCCATTGTCCTTCCCCGAGACGACGGGCGAGTCACAGCCTTCCATGGTAAGGCCTGCGTGGAGCTTTCATTGCACCCAGTACGGATCGGACCTGAAGGGCGGAGGCAAGGGGGGAAGAGGGAGAGGGGGAAGAGAGAGAGAAAGGAAAGAGGTTAGGAGGGCCGAGGCTAAGGTCCCGCACAGAGCACTCTAACAGCTTCTGTCCACACCCACAACGGAGACCGCGGGGGCGGCAGGGACCCCAGCGCTGGCCCCATGCTGTCCGACACGCGGAGGGCCATTGGCCCCCGGGCGTCATGGCTGGGGTCACGGCGGGGGACGTGGCAGGAGCAGGAGCACAGGCAGGGGCATCAGGAGAATCCCTCTTAGTCTTCAGCTTGTCGGCTGCTCTACCCTGGAGACCAGTCTGGATTTCCGTTCTTTGCAAGCACATTGTTAGCACCAGGACTGAGCGCCGGCCACAGGGGAGGAGGGCCCCACGGAGGACACAGGAGGGCGGCCCTACCACACACAGGCAGCCAGCCCCAAGCCGCCCCGGCTGTCCCAGCTGCCTGTGGGCCGGGGAGCAGGGGAGGGACAGACGAGAGGAGGGAGGTTTTGCACCCCCAGAACAGGAAAGGCCAACTGTGCAAGGCCAACTGTGCAAGGACATGCTCACTGACTTGGAGGAGAAGTTGCTGCTGCTGCTTTTACTGACCAAGGTTCTAGTTTGGAAAGTTCAGAGAAAAGCCCCTGAGGTCCGGGGAGCACTGTCCCGTTTTACAAGCAGGAAAACCGAGGGGCAAATCCTTAAAACGTGCCCCTGCCGCCTGGCACCGTGAAACAGAGGTGGATCCCGAGTTCCCTTCTCCGCCCCCACCCCTCCAGCAGCCTTGCTTGTGACTCAGCTGGCTCCAGACGGAAGACGTGTAGGTGCGAACATGCACGTGATGTTTCTAGGAAGAACCTGCCAGGCGCAATGGGCCGACGCCCCCTCCGGCAGCATGGATGTCACCCCGTCTGGAGGGAGCCCCGTTACCACTGGCTGGGTGCTGTCTGCTGTCAAGGATCTTAGCAGCAAACCGAGACGGCAGCTGGGCTCGGCCAGCCCCCGTTCCCACCTGCCTCTCCGTTATTAGTTGCTACCCGAGCAGCTGTCCTTCAGCCCTGGGGCTTTTCCGTTTCCGACTCCAAAGTGCCACTGAGCTGAATTTGCCCTCTGAGACCACACGTCCCTGGAGAGGGGGGCATCGGATCACCCGCTGCTGCTCTGCTCCTGTGGCAAGGACATGACAGAGCATTTCTTCCACCCAGTGCTGCTCCTACAGCAACTCAGAGCCCAGTCTGCAAATCCCAGGCAAGCCCCCCTCCCCCGCCGCCCTGCACCTCCTGCCTGGAGAACACTTGGCTGCTTCTCCACCCACCATCTCATTCATACCCCGCAGATGAAGGTTTTGGCTGGGTTTGGTCCCACCCCACCCCCCAAACCCTCATCTTCCCATTCTCTTTTCATTTCTTGATTCTTGACTGCACAGTGAGCCAACAGCTCCCCCTCGGGAAAAGATGGGGAAGGCAGGTTTCCCAGAAGCCTTGGGAGAAATAACTTTTTGGAAGAATGTGCCATGTTTTGTTTAAAGCACACGTGCACACACACTCCCCACCTCTCCGTTCATAACCTCAAACTCCGCGATGACAAAGCTCTGTGCGCCTGAGAACAGACACATTGATTTCAAGCTAAGATAACGACACTGAACCAAACCGAACAGCAGATGGATGGGACTTCCCCGCCAGGCTTAGCTGGCACACAGGTGAGAATCCGGGTGGCTCTTCTTAAGATGCGCCTGATTGACAGCTCAGGCCAGAAAGGTTGGCAGGCCTGAAGGGGCGGGAGGGTTAACAGCCCGATTGTAAAATCGATGTCATAAATGCTTGGTAAGTTACAGGAACATGCGGGAAGGGGAGGCCACGATTGATAAAGGAGAACAGCTTTGATGCTTCACCAGGGACTTGTGTATCGACAGCAAAGCCAATCTCCTCTCCAGCCGGGGCTGGGCCAGCGAAACCTGCCAGCGTTTACCAATTAATTGGTGGGCTTTTCTTGCTGTTCTCTTCCTCCTCCTCCTCCTTCTCCTCCTCCTCCCCAACTCACCCACTTAAAAGGGGTTGGGACTTTTGAAAACTCACCTAAGTTTGTTTTCTATTTCCAAGCAAATGTCAAGAATGACACTGTGGCCACCCCTGAAAGACAGACGACCCCCTGGGTGGTGACACTGGCCCCTGGAGGGACACGTGGGAGACTACTTATGCGCAGGGACCGACAGCCCAGCCAGGCATCCACGGGAGAGAAGGATCCCACTCTGAGGTCGAAGCTGCCTGCCCTGGGCTTGCTGTCCATGCACACCGGCCATGGCAGGCAGAACCTTTCACAGCCTCGCTGAGCAAAGTGTGGATCAGGGAGCAGCAGAATCGCCTTCACCAGGGCGCTGGGAGGAGCACTCTCAGCCCTGCCACAGGCCAGGGTCCGCACGTTGCACATGGTCTTTGGAGGGTGCACATCATTCAAGTCTGATTCACCCTCTGCTCCACCGGACTGCCAACTCCCCGCTCTGTCCCTGTACGGCCAGGGGGCCAGGCGGGGTCAGGCCAGGACTTCCCCACCGGTCCCTGGGAATGAGGGGACGGGGTGGACAAGGGGGGACCAGAACGCAGAGATGAAGAAACCGCTTATGCTTCCCAGTCCTTCAGCTCAAGGGCCTCGGGCCGTCCACCACTCTCCCGCCCGTCCCTCTCGCTCTGTTTATCAGCCAGTCAATAAGAAAAAGGTAGTTCTTACTTAAGGAGGCAGAAGTCAACTCGGCAGGTCGATCAGCACTCTGTCTGTAAACACGGTTTCCCGTAAAATCAATGATCTTCAGTTACAGAGGGCGGCCTGGGAACCTGGCGGGTCCCCGCGCTCACAGGCAGCCCCGCAGCAGCCTCTGCTCAGGCCCTACCCCGGCTCTGCGCCCCCTTCCTCATCCTTCACTCACCAGGGCCAGCTCACACATCACAGACCCTCAGCCCTTCCTGCAGCCTGCTTCTCTTCAGCCACCTACACCCCCAAATTCCCCTCAAATACAGACGCGTCCTACTCATGCCCACCTAGCGTGCTCCACGTGGGTGGTGTGTGTGTGGTTTTAAGAATTCAGTTACTCTTCAGGAGAGCACATCTCTCCAGCAGGGGTGCAGGGGAACGAGAGGTGTGGTCGAGGGTGCTGGGCTCGCTCTGCTGAGCTAACCTGCCATTTGAGAAGTCACCCTGTAAGGAAAGCTTCGACACCTTTATCAAGGCCCCCGGACACTTGCGCCTCTTACAATTAGTTTCCTTGGAACCTACCTCTAAAGCTCCCTGCATCTTCCCAAATATCACTCTTTGTTTTGAAGACACTGTTTAAAATGTTAAAAACTCCACCATGTCACCCCAAGGCCCCCCATTAACAAAGTCATCCATCTCCCTCTTTCAACTGAGAAGATGTGGCGTGACAGTCTTATCACATTCCTTTAAGGAGGCAGGGCTGAGGCCAATGCAACAGTTACAGGGAAGCTGGGGAGGGGGGGTTGAGGAAGGGGAGGGGACTCCCGCTGTTGCTCTCAGAGAATTAAACATGAACGTCGCACTGTGCAATTTTAAATTGTTAATTAGCACAGGGTTAATTAGGCGGTCCTTTCACAAGAGGTTGTTTGGCAGAAAACCAAGAAAGGAAACAAAGGGGACCAAAAGGAAAAGAAAGAGAGAAGTGAGACAGCGAGAAACTGTTGCCTCAGTGAATAACCCAGCAGCTTCGCCAGAGAGAAGGAAGCCAGCGGGCAAGGATGCCACTTCCCTGAGCTCAGCTGGAGCGGCCTCCACTGGCTGCCTTCCTGGAGGTGACTTCGCAGGAGATACCAAAAGCCTCAAGAATGCACATGCCCTTTGACTCAGCAACTCCCCCGTTCTAGGAAACAACCCAAGATACCAGAGAGACAGATTATTCATCACAACATTTATAACATAAAAGAAATCTGGTGAAATGAGGGACTCTCTAAGTTACAGTGCATAGAGCTCCATAGGATGTTATAAATACTAGAGGCCTGGTGCACAAATTCATTCACGGGTGGGGTCCCTCGGCCTCTCCGGGATTGGGGGCGATTGGGGCTGGCCTGGGGGAGGGACCGTGGGAGGTTGGATGGCTGCAGAAGGTTGGCTGTGGGAGTGCACTGACCACCAGGGGGCAGCTCCTGTATTGAGCATCTGCCCCCTGGTGGTCAGTGCTTGTCAATAGCGACCGGTCGTTTGGTTGACTAGTCATAATGGTTGCTTAGGCATATATACTCAAGTGAGGAGTAACAAAACAAACAAAATATATATAAAATTTTTTGAAGAAGTTATTTAAGGGTGTGGGAAAATGATCACCCGGGATGCTAAGTGAACAAAGCATATATAGGGCTGCATATGGAAATACATGAGATTTATATCAAAAACTAGGGGATGAGGTAATAGGCGACTTCATTTCTTCTTTATTTCCCAAAGATTTTTGAAATTAAAACCATCATAAGAGAAGCCATCCCTTCTTGAATTAGGGATCATGTAAAGGCCGGGCCTGAAGGTACAGCACCACCTTGATGCTCAGAACCACTCCTTGAGACAAATTCTATTTTTATCCCCATTTTAAAGATGGGAAAACTGAGGTTGCCCCAAGTTACGCAGCCTGAGTAACAAAACCATACACAGTCTGGCTGCGTGGAGTCTGTGTTCTTGGCCGCTGTACCATGTTCTTCTTTAACGTCTATTTCTCAAAGAGAACTCCAGAATGTCCTTACATCTGACATTCACACCCAGTCTTTATGGACCCAGGGACTGCTCTGAGAGCACGGGATAGCAGAATGGCTATGTGAAAGGACATTGCCAACTCATACAGAACCCTTCTTGCTTGGTAATGCTGAGGGGAAGAAAGTTCAAAATGGCTTCTGTACTTGGATATCTTCACACAGGAGAGAGAGGGTCAAGCTGCTGCAACAAACTGTATGGTAGGCCCATTATCCTCACGTTTTTTAAGAAAAAAAAAGGGGGACAGATTCCAGACACCATAAATC